AAACTTGCGAAGAGTGTCGGTCATTGGCCTCTTGTAACAATTTGGTTTATGTGGATATTCAATCAATGCAGAATTCCTGTGTTTGCGAACACTATAAAACTTTGTATTCACAGCTCTTTTTTTTCCAATATATACATATATATGCGCACGTATGTGTTAAATTTCGTGTATTTTTTTATTGTAAAGTTTTTGTAGTATTAATGCTATTATTAATGGCAGATATAACAGGTCTTTGAGGGTCGCTGTCCTCCGTCTAATCCACTCACACATAATCTATCTGAAGACAAGTGCTTTTTATTACAGGTTGAAGTGATTAATATTAAACCCATGTTACCATCGATAATTTTGGGTTACATTTAACAATTTTAAGAAGTTCACGAATAAAGTATAGAACCAGATGTCCTATAGGACGCACTGCCTGGTAATTAAACCATTTTCTACAAGATATAGTGTATCCTAAGCGACATCATTTGACAACTAATCTATTTTTTCAAAGACAAAATCTGCTACACATGACCAATTACATAAGATATCATTTACAGAAAACAGCGTTATTTATTAGCTAAAACGTTTTCTAGAAAACACCATTTAAAAGTAATACGATTTTGGAACCTCACCATGTCAATACAGTCCATGTTGTCACGCCCGGTCATGTTCTACCTGATGCCGATATTTTTTTTACCCTGCAGGTTAGTTTCTATTGCAAACGGCCCTGTGGTAAGGCAGTCATGTCCAAAACAACCACTCCTCCATGAGAGGTTTCGATAATCCATCTAGTGTACGAGAACGAGCTGTTTCCCAGCGACCACTTCAACAATCCAATCGCACAGAAATCCAGAGATGTTGCATCCAGTGACGTGAGTGGTATGTCTTCGTATGGAATAACATGAATACTCATTGCTTTTTTCCAGCTGCTTGAGGTATGTGACGATTAAACGGGAGGTATGGCTTGAAGCCTTATCTTCGTGATCCCGTATCCTATTAGCCTCGTTTCCAGAGGCAGATCCTTGTTTCTTACTGTTGCTTGTGCCATTGATCATTGTGTTTGTGGATTCCCACCTGTTATATGTCTGGAGTACGAATTGTTATGAGTAAATTTCTTTATTTTCCTGACTCCCCAAATTGATCCATATTCCTTTTTTATCTAATGTCATTAAGTACATGGGCTATCCCCGTCTCACACATTCTAAATACCCAATCTGAAGATGCAACTTTCCACAATTTTTCCAAAAGTGATCAATTTTTGATGGCAGCGCACCATCTACAACCACCAAACAATTTCAAAATATAGTTTTGATACACGCCGTTCTATTAAGACTGTATATCGACTATAGTTGTCGTGTGACTTGCTGATTTGAACATTTAACATCGTTTTAGTTTAAAGTAGTCAACCCTTCTTACAACCTACTCCACAAGATTCTACTTATCCAATATAAGCTCTTCTAGAACCTTTTTTTTTGGGGGGGGGAGAACAACCTTCCAGATATAACCTATTCTCAAAGGCTCTACCTTTTCTAGAAGACACCATATGTCAGATATAGCCTGTTCTCCCTCTTGCTACATAGAATGTTGGATATCATAACCTTCATTTCTCTGTTTCACTGGAACATGCACTATGATATCAATACTTAGCTGAAATATTGTCGTTAGTCTTATTGTGAAGTTTGGTACTTCTATCTATTTAGAAATATGTTTTCAGTTCATTTCATTTTGCATGGATTTACACAACACTAATAAACATTTCAGAATGGATTTCAGCTTGCAAATTATTACCTGTCGCGGATTTCTAGAAACCTGGACAAGTTTGTGAAGAAATGAAAATTTTAATTTTTCAGAAAATTTGAATAACAATTTCCATGCAAAGCTAGAGTTTGAAATGTATCGCTTCATCGAGAAGCTATCTGAATTTATCTGCTACAAACGCAGTCGATTCATTCGATGGAAAATGTAAGGGACCTAAAAATATACTAAAATAATATAATATTCTAATCTGTAAAATTTATTTTATTTCCGGGGAGTTATATAATTAATTGCCTAATTTTCACAATAAAAATTATTCGTTTTAGAAAGAGCCGAGCATGATTTAATGGGTAGAGTGCCACGCTACGGATTGGAGAATCGGCGACATGCCAATGAATACGCACTACACTTTCAGCTGTGAGGGTATTATAACTGTGACAATTAATTCTTCTGTTCGTTTAAGAATAGCCGCAGGTAGGCGGTAGGTCTCCTTCTAGTCAAAATTCTAAACTATAGATTGCTATATTTAAACCTTAAGGATCTCTGATCTGGCTGTTTAGCTCATATGTTGCATAAGGTGCCGTTCAAGTTTAAAATACCAATATAATTCACGAAAATTGCAAATATTGTAGATGTATTTTAGATAGCAGTCCCTAATTTTGATGTGATCGACTAGCGAGAAGGCAGCTAGTCACCACCTCCTGCCGCCAACTCTTGAGATACTCTTACAACGCACCCATGGCCCCAAAGTGCGGAGAGCAATATTTTGGAAGGTAACGCGACGCAAACCACGACATATATATAGCACGCTAACCACTCGGTCACACTCGGCGTTGGTCAATAATCTAATTTCAAACACTTGAGTTTTCAAATAAAAGTACAAAATAAAACGCTATTTTGGCTTACATGTTACATTTACACTTTGTATTATAGTATTATGAATAAAATATTTATCTGGAAACATAAGAAATTGAATAATTAATCAGTATTAAATAGGCCCTCTTTGATTCACAACTGTAAGGCCACATTAATCAGACATGGATGTCAGCTATCAGGTTTTTCGAGGTTATCTGTTGGCATTTCCTGTCACGTGTGCTATATACAGTCTCCCAGAATTATCGTACAACCTTCCTTTTCCTTCATAACTTTTCAACTAGTGACACAAATTTCCAGTTAGAATAGCATCAGGATTTTGAGCTGAACATCTCAAAACTTTTATTTTTCACCAGCTCCTTCCTTCTCCTCCAAATACTTCTTATTCGGCTGAGTAACATGTTTTGGGTTGTTATCCTTCTGAAGTTCAAAGGTAGCCAATTAAAAGTTGCCCTGTTGTGATTGTACAATAAACCAGAATGTTACAGTATAAGTACTACTTCATTATAACACCAGGTTTGACAGTTATCTCCTACTCCTGCAACGGAAAAAATGTCTTCATACTATTATAGACCTATCACTATGTTTCATTGTCTTGCTCACACATTTCCACAAAAAAAAAGAAAGAAAAAACTCTCGTAAATCTTTCAGCAAGCACAATCGTTGATTCATCACTACATAACACATTGTTCCATTTGTTCTTCCAACATAATCGTTGATTCATCACTACATAGCACATTGTTCCACTTGTTCGTCCAACATAATCGTCGATTCATCACTACATAACACATTGTTCCACTTGTTCTTCCAACATAATCGTTGATTCATCACTACATAGCACATTGTTCCTACTTGTTCGTCCAACATAATCGTCGATTCATCACTACATAACACATTGTTCCACTTGTTCTTCCAACATAATCGTTGATTCATCACTACATAACACATTGTTCTACTCGTTCTTCCAACATAATCGTTTATTCATCATTACCAAACACACTATTCCACTCGTTCTTTCCACTTTTATGATCCTTTACTAAGCTTGCGCACGTTTATTTATAAAATATTAAAATTTTTGGCTGCAACTTTTCTCAGTAGGCCTCTTTCTTATAACCAATTTCAAACAGCTCTACTGCCAATTTTAATTCAACACATGTCCTGTATTTGTACATTTGTTTAGGAAAAGTTTTAAATCGATTTGATGTTGAGATTCTTGAAATGACACTATTCTCTTATCTGGATATTTTTCTCGAAAGTCCCGTCGTTTCATTAGACTTTAACACTCAGTTGCAGCAAAGCACTCTAATATTCCTTGAGTCGCACTCATCGAAACGTTACAGTTTAATCTAAAGCAGTATCTTGTGCTTCATTTTCACTACTTAATTCTAAGTTACATTTCTTAATTTTTCATATTTTTGCCCATGTTGTAGCTTGCAAAAGATTTAAATAATGTTAGCACTTTATGGAGCAATTACTGCAATCAACATTATAGAAACTAGACTACTTGTGATTTAAAATATCACGAGAAATTATTTAATCATTATAGAAACTGTGTGATTGTGCAGTCATGCTATGATACATTCTCGTTATAAAGAGAATAACTGTTTTTATTGTAATTACAAACATTATGTGAGCACAACACATGCACATACCGTTTATGGTTTGCCAATAGTGACTCTAATTTTTACAGGCTTATATAGCAACGTTGTTCTATTTTGTTGGACTCAAACTAACGAATGCTAGTGTAAATATCCACCAAATTGATTTCTTTAAAACATTTGTGTACGAGATGTGCCAATTAAAAATAAAACTGAAAAGTGATAAATTTAAAGTATTCACTCACCCCAGATATTTAATTTCCTGTGCTTGTTTTTTTTTAGACACTGATATCGTAAAATTTATATGCGATTATATCATAGGTATGTTTTTTTACTTATTGAAAAGTAAAAACTAAAACAGTCCTATTAATATAATATGAAATATTTATAAATTTTATGATACCGATATCTCTACCTTCCTGTTAGCTTGGAAGCTTATAACGTTAAAATTCGCACAGATAGCCCATTGTGCATTTGACAACAAACAACTCCTCATGAAGGATGTCACTTTAGGAATTCGAACCCCCTGAAACAGGATTAGAACGCTGACGTTCCACTACTCTTAACTCCAGAGAATTTCGTGGTGTTCTAGTTACCTTGGAACCTTATAACGTTAAAATTCGCACAGATAGCACATTGTGCATTTGACAACAAGCAACTCCTCATAATCCAGAAGTTATCACGCCTAACCATATGCATAAAATTAATCACACTATTCTTGACAAATTCAAATCTATAAAAAAAGTAATTTTATTATAGAAAATAACCTGTACAACCTTCTTACAATATAAATACAAAGTCAATCATTATTTTTATAAATGTACTTTACGTGTTTTTTTCTCTCTTACATTTCTTTATCAAGTGCAAAAGTACGTTAGAAAATTATACATTTTAACAGTTCAGTGAAAAGATAAACCATCACACAGGTTAAAACTTAAAATTTACACAGTTAAGACTAGTTCAGCAACTATCTCATTACGATTGAAAGAATAAAAATCAAAATTATATCTTGTTGGTATTTGTTTTGAGTTTAATATTTTTAGGATAATTGACCTGTGATTATAATACACACCGAGAGAACCCAGTTAAAGTATTTGGGTAAATAAGAAATTATAAGTAATTCTCCAAAGATTTGTATTATGCGTCTTTATTCAGTGACTGCTTACTGAACTATAACTTGTGTTTACCTTACGTTTTTACAGTGATTAAACAAAACTCAGGATTGGGTTGGAAATTACACAACCTTAATATGTTTACAGTTTTGATAACCATTCATTCAAAGTTTGAATTTAAAAGACTTACAAAGCAGAGGATGATGCTGATGCCAAGTAATAGGGTTAACGGATTGATTAGTTGCGATGTAAACTGTAAAATGTATAAATATACATATTTCAAAAACAGCAATCTAAATATTTTCAAAAATGTGAGTTCATAGATAATCTGCGATTAATGGGATCAGCGATACTGTGTCTATACTCCCGGAAGTCCACTGGAAGATCAAAATATCCAGATTTTCGCCTTTCATCATGGGGGTACTGTGGTTGTCGGACTTTTTCAATGCAGCATTCAACTGATTTTTTAGATAGTTTGTCCCTTGTATACAATTCGGGAGAACTAGGATATAATTCAGGAGTGGGCGTGTATTTTTCTCTGTAACGATGGCGATTACGACAAGGTGTTTGATTAACATAGTAAACTGAGGATGGTTGTTGTTGGTCAAGCACATCGTAAAAAGGTAAAACGTCCTTTTTATCTTGGGAAGAAAAGTAATGTCCATGAAGAATGTCACTGTAGGGATTCGAACCCCCTGAAACAGGATTAGAACGCTGACGTTCCACTACTCTTAACTCCAGAGAATTTTGTGGTGTACAAGTTTTGGAAAATAGATTGAGACGTCTGTCGTTATCCTTTTCCTTTGCACTTGGAAAAGACACAGGTCTCGGATCCCTTTTCGAAAGTGGAGTTAAGTCTGTACACTTCTGTCTGTAAACTATATGTGTTTCTTGGTTCTCTTCAGGGATTCTTAATTCTGTAGAAAGTTCAGTAGTTTTAGGTATATGATAAGAAAACGGTCTCGTATTGTCTAGCCTTTCTGGTATAGTTTCATTTACTTTCCCAAGAGGATATACTTTACGACTTGTCCTTTGCTTATCCTGAGAACCTGTGTGTTTCTCAGATCTGATGTGCCAATCGTCCTGAGAAGGCTTACGAAACACGTAACTTTCTGATTGAGTGGGCAAAATAGGCTGAGGTGCCCTGGTTATAGGAGAAGGTGAGCATATTCGTTGTTTTGAAGGTTTTAGTGGTACTGTTTGTTTCCAGTAAGGTAAGATTAATTCGTTGTCTTGCGTTAAAACGTCTGGTTCTTGCAGTTCTTCCTCATCAGAACTGGTACCTGGATCAATTTCCTGGTTTTCATTTCCCTGGTGCGACGTATTTTTTTTAACTGTGGAAGTTAAAACCTCATCTGATCCAATTCCACTTGACTTCCCACTGGAGGCTGACTCTCTTGCCTGTTCCTTTGTCATTGGAGCGGCTTTTAGTCTCTGATTCATTCCAACTATATGGATATTAGTACTTCGTCTTTCCTCGATTCCGTCTAACTTACCTCTCTTCCTATATACCGTGTCATAATCCTTAGGGGGAAGTAAAATAGGACAAGAGTTTCGGTTGTTTAATTTTTCACGAAGTTCGGATGCCAAAGAATCGTACAAACTAGTTACATTTTCTATGTTTCTTCCAGGTACATCTCTATCTGAGCTAAATGAGTCATCGGCTAGGTCTGAACCTTCGGTCCTTGTGCTGCGGCCGTCAGAGTTCAGTCTTCTATAAGGAAGAAGACCCTTGGCAGCCAAGCGTGTTTCTATTTCTTTGAACTTCTTCTGGTTTTCTGGCTTGTCCGTTAAGGACTTAAGCTGGTTTCTTAGCGTAGTGGCCGTTTCAACACTATCACATCTATATGCATGCACGTGGATTGGACACTTTGTGACAGGATTGTATATGAGAAGGATACTACACACTATATCATCATCTGGTTTCGACTCTTGAGTCACACATGTGATGGCATGATGAGGAATAAAGTGTTTAATCTGTTCAGTCTTCTCCCTATTGTTCTTTCTTGAAACGTTTTGTATGATCTTAAGACCTTTATTACTAACCTGAAGGGTGACCTTCATGGGCTCCAATTCCCTTTCCTTATTTAAAAGTTCTTTTAGAATAGGGCGAATATACTGTTCCCCTCTCAACCCTTTGCTCTCCTTCGCACCCAGAAACCACACATAGTACGACTGTTTCTTCATGTCTTTTCGTTTACCTCCACGAAAAGCCATAACAACTGCCGATAGATCCTACACACAACACACACACACACTGTCTTTGTATACAAAAGCACAAGAAAAGAATACCGTAAACGGTTTTCACAAGAACATTAGATCCGCCTAGTATGTCAGACACCATCACAATCACGGTCTCGAGACAGACTGCACTACTCTAGGTGCGGCGAACACTCCGCAAACCCAACCTGTTATCAGCTGGTGGGAATGCCAACCAAAATTCCGTTCTCCCTTATCGTCCAATCACAGCGAGATACACACGTAACCTGCAAGAACTCGATCTTGGTCGCCCCCCCCCTCTCTTTCTCTGTGAGTATAATTTAAACCTCTCGTTGAATGGGATTCTTCACGGCCTCCCTAAGGCCTTTAGCATAGCAGCTGCTGCCCTGTGTAGGCAATGCGTTGGGTTGTGTTAAGGATCGTCTCTAATTTCTGTACCGGACGTTGGCAGATGACGTCAACAAGAATAGTGTCTCCACCTACTGAGGAGACAGAAGAGCTCACCTTTGTAGCCTCCCGGTACATTCCATACTAATGTGTAATTAAATCATTTTGTTCACTTACAAAATTTAAAATAATTTATAGCAAGGGGACTGAAATAAAGTTCATCTCACAAAATAAGTCAAAGAGCAACTAATTTTGGTGATCTTATACATATCGGTCAGTAATCGTCGTCACCTCCTGAAATAATTAAAATAAAAATACAAGTTACATATCTCAGTAACTTCATTCAAGCTAAAGTAATAATTTAACTCTCCTTGTTAGCCTCCAGAAAATTAATAAATAAATAACCAATTTTGATAACCTCCAGAAGTAATTCGAATTAACATATAACTTACGAGTAACCAATTTCATACCGCTAGAAATAATTTAAAATCACATATAAGTTCATCACTGAGGAAGCCTAAGGAATGTATTAAACATAAATCATGAACCTCTGGGTACAGTTCAAATTGAAATATGAATATTATGAATTCGGTAGCCTCTACATAACCTCAAATAAACTAATGTATTAATGTAACTCAGCTTGCCTAAACCTCGGCACACATCGAAATGAAATATGAGTATAATTCATCTCAATAATCTCTCCATTTACAAATAACTTAAATCGATGTATAGATACCTTTACCTCCTTCAAACCAATGGATTAATGTCGTCTCGAGTCGCATTAAAATAAAGTAAAAGTCAAAGACTGTATTCATATATTCCAGTATTTATCCTCTTACAGTTTAGGCACAATAAAATGAATGAGTATTTTTTGTAAGAAAAACAAAACTACGCTTTCCTACCTCGCTATATTATAATATGCACTGTGGAAACGTCCTGTACTATTAGCTATCTTTCCAATATTTGCTTGTTCGAACGCTCTACCAAGATTTGGCTGTTACAAAATCGTATTGCGCATGTGTTTGCAGTTAAGTGACTTGCTTTGAACTGCCAATCATAATATCCCTATGACGTCATATGCGTGCATCCATGCTTGTTAAACAAACTATTGGGAATTACTAAAACACAATTACTTTGTTAAAATTGGCGGATGTGCTTTTGGAACTTACTATCCTCTTCCTTTTTATTTTCAAGTCTGCGGACTTATACCGCTAGAAACCGGGTTTCGATACCCGTGGTGGGCAGAGCACAGATAGCCCTTTGTGTAGCTTTGTGCTTAATAATAAAGAACAAAAAAAATTATTTTCATATAAATTTATTTGTTCAGGTAATAATAGTGACGTAGTTATATTGTTCTATAAAAGACTGAACACTGAAACGTATTACAATTAAGAGCAGAGTCTACTCGGACATGACGATTCCGACACATGCAAGTAAAACTATAGCTCTTTGTAGGGTCGTTACAGAAATATATTGTCTTCAACTTTTTTCTGTAATTTAAATAATTGTTAATAATATAACGTTTTACACAATTTTATGATTTTGTACCCTTACTTTGCGCTATACATTACCTAGGCCTAATTGAAACGACTAGTAGAATCATAGAATAGGAACTGTAGACTTATTAAGGCTCCTTCATAGGAAATCCGATTCAATGTTACACTAAGCTATTTACATAGACGATCGCATGCACGTTTCCAGTTAGAAGTAATCCTATGTACGTATAAATCACGTGGGGCTCATGCAAGTTTCCATTTAGTGGCAAGACTGTGTTAATAAAACACGTATAAAAATAATATATAGTACGTACAACCTTATGTTAATCTTCGTTAACAATCGAACATGTAAAAATAACACGAGCTTACACAACCAAATCAATAACACAGTAATGTAGGTCTATTGGTCAAAAGTGACACGAGAAAAAAAAAGTAAGTATAAACAAAGAAAGACGTCTGATCTCGAGCCCACCGGACAGTTTCTAACAGCTTTGAAGCGTAACTTGGGTTTCCTGTTCCAATTAACTGGACTTTGTAAACTCCGCAGGCTTCAAAAATTACACAATGGTAAGAGCTTCAGCGTGAAATTTGTTGCGTCTTCACGTTGACGTACCCACGTTTATTTTAAAAAGACATATTTAGTTTTCAATGTAATGAGTGAATGAAATTCGTTTGTATTTCCAGCCCGGCGGCCCATAGAATAGAATGTATATGTAATTACAATATATATTGGTAGTTAAACTACATATATATGTGTTGGATATATTCATTCATCAACACTGAAATTGACAAGCCATATCAGTTACTAACACTATCACCATCAGTAATATTTTGTCTCTTAATTACACTACATAGCATCAGAGCTGACTGTTTTTCAGTGAAAGTATAAAACCTATTTATTTATTTATGCTGGTAACTTTATAATTTCCTTATAAACATCCACTCGGGATTCATTAATAAAGAGCAATTGGAAATGCGAGATAGTTTGTGACTTTTTTTGTGTAATATAACCGACATCAACGCACACAAAAACATTTCAGACAACAAAATAAGCATATTCCGTCAAAAAAATGTGAATTCAAATAGTTCGTTAAACATATACACGTTATTTTCTGTTATTTTAGGGTGAGACTGGTTGAGCATCCATAAACATTGATTTTGTTAATACCGTATTGGCCGAAATTGAACACTGGGTTGTTGTTTTGTAAATACGATTTGAAAAATACGACTCACCCAATATTCGCGGACTATGTTCAGAGTCAAGTTAACTTACTCAGTCAAGACTGTTGGGAAATATAACAAGTGCATATTGATTTTAAAAAAAATTAAAAAGAGAAGAAACAGACTCAGACAGCAGAGAGGAGAAGAATGACAATAGTATCACGGATTAGATTTGTGAATAAGGACTTTTTTGTAGTGGGTGATGCAAGTGACACAATATAAACGAAAACCTCTCCGTCTGGAAAGCGACAGAAGTCACGTGTACACAGACTACTTCCACGAGATATCCAAGAAAGGAAGTCCAAAAACAGAAAACTGATAAACGGGAAAAATGGTTATTTCGTGGTGACATCGACAAAGTTTATGTATACCTTTACAGCTGTAACAAGTATTGTGGCATTTTCTGTTGGTCAATAGATGAAAACAAATCCCAAATGTGAAACCTTTTCGAAGGATTCGTGATCATTAATGGATAATGCGCCAGGAGCAAAATAGAGATAATCAGAGTGGATTCAAAGATCAAGGTGAGCTCTACTTACTATCAGGCTAATGTTATGGAACTTTTGTACTACACAGAAATACCAGTTTTGTACGGAACGAGACCAACTGGGTATGGATTCACCAATGTAATGCTTCCACTCCTACCTCCCGTTCAACCGTCTTATGTTTCAAGTAGTTGGAGATTGAAACGGGTACTCATGCTATTTCTGTATGATTGGTCTGTTGAAACGAACACTGGGAAACTGTCATTCTCGTATACCAGATGGATTATGTAAAGTCATCAGAGAGGTATGTTGTATATTGGACATGACAAATTTACGATGGAGTCTTTCGAAAACTACGCTGCAGAGCTATTATCAAGATGTACAGTCGTCAGAGAGAGAGCATGACCAGACACGATAACATGTACTGTGACGACGTGCTGAGGTACCAAAATTGTTTTAATACAACGTACTCACCACTCTGTAGAATAATTCCATGTATATTTAATTTTAATATAGTTTTCACAAGCTGATGACCAAGGTCAAATTAATAGTCAATATTCAAGTTATAATAGAGATTCATTCATATCCAAGGTTTTTTGCTCAATACTATCTTAATTCATATATATATACATTTATTAAGGACTATTAATCCACATTTTCAGTCTGGTAACCTTACCTTTAACTAACAGTACGATGGTTCAATTATCACTATTCAAACTCTTGTTACAAAAGTATTCAACCAGGTTTGTTTCTCGTACACTTTGCACTAATGACTAAAAATTCATTTTATAAAGTTCATATTTAATGTTTATTTTGTTTTGTCTAATTATATTAAAGAGGCTTGAGAAAACTTTGAGGTATATTCATTATTAAAGAATAAAAATAAGAAACAAAACTTCAAAATTACATTTATAAACGGAATGTAAATTAACTGTACTTTGAGCATGGACAGATCGAATATTCTCGAAAAATAATTAAAATATTATAATCATCGAACACCTTAATTTGTGAAAGTACAGGTCAATAAATGTTAATTATCTTATTTAATTAAAATGTACGTTTGGGGTAATCTCATTTTTGTATCGACTGATCTTTCGCACTCTACGCGAGTCCTCTGCTAACAGTGTTAAAGAACCAGCCCACTAGGTGTTTCTAATAAGGCTCCTTTTAACAATTAAATTACAACACTTTCACCTGACTTAAAATACAAGAAGGTGATTTATATCTATTAGTATATTCTGATAAAAAAAAACACTTTAGAGAATGAATCGTGTATACAAAATAATTCTCTTATTCTCAGTTAGAATTTTGTTGGTTTGCTTTGTTATATTTTGCGTAAATCTACACTAGGGCTATCTGCGCCAGCCGTCCATAATTTTGAAGTGACCCACTAGAGGGAAGACTTTCTATTAACAAACATAAATCTGCGTAACTTAAGATAAAACTGTATGCATGTAAACACAATATTTTGAAATACAGTCTATATACAAGGAGAAACTTAAAGCAAATATATCAAGACACCAAGTAGATGTATATATATATATATATAACTTTCTATCACTCGAAGTTTATAGAAAATTCTAACGTGATGATGGATGATGTGAAGAACATTGGTCGTAAAATCATCCCTAAGATGATATCCTGACCCTTCAATGGCTAGATTAGAAGTGAACAAGTATTCCCTGTGGGTTTTCAAGCTCCCGAAATGAACATACCAAGATCCTATACCCTACAGCTAAACATTTAGTTGTGGGGGTTTTCGTATCTTCCTATTAAAGAAGTATAGTATAGGGGGTAATTAAGGGCAGTAGCTTTGTTTATACAAAAAAAAATCTGCTTCTGAGAACTGAAATGACTATGTCAAATGAAACATTGTTTATGAAATTTTCCATAAGAATTAAACAACCAGATGTGTACAATTATGTCATTAAAACTTTCGTGTATAACTTTTAAATTCTCACACGAGGCGCTAGATGAATAGGACAAAGAATTAGGTCACAAATTGCCCTCTAAGCAACAAACACGAAAGGCACGTGACCTATAATAGTGTCCTTACCACCCATTTGTTCTTGGATTTTATCGAACTTGACTTATATAATGTTCGTAGTGACTTAGGAGTTAGTAGTTCACGTTGTTACATAATAAATAGTTATAGAACATTCTACGAAACACCTGCAGTAATAGGTTGGTGATGTTTCTCTCTCTCTCTCTCAAAAAAAAGAAAAGTACTTTACTATTTGCTTAGTTATTTATCTTGCTTAATTCTTATTTATTCATTTGCTGATAAAATTAATTTTTGCCTCATCTAGAAGAAGCATTATATTGTACTTGTATTTAAAGCTATTTGTCACCATTCTTACTTTTCAACTACTGACCGGATGAAAAATGACCAGTCAGCAATACCCACGCTGAGTAACTAACTGCCACTCTTATAACGCACTCACATCGTAAAGTGAATAGAATATTTCGCCAGCTCCGACGTCCAAAGTTCTACCACACACTAACCTGCACCCTTATCATGTTGTAGCTAAAACCTTAAAGGACAGCTTCCCGATGCCACCAAAATCCATGACTTACAACGAAACTGGAAGGATAAATTAAAATTCACTAAAAGAAATAATACTCATGCGCGGGGTTGAAGGGGATCAAAAGATCCCGAACACCCGAGTTGGGAAAGGCAGACAAAACCCAACAGCTTGTTTTCTCTTCCTTCAAACTATTTTACTGCTACGGTTAGTTTTTTTTTCTTAAAGGACAAAGTTACTTACATAAATG